ATTATTATTATTATTATTATTATTATTATTATTATTATTATTATTATGCTATAATTGTATTTAGTTTGTTGCGTTTGCTGTGTTACAGTTATTCTAATTTGATAGTTTACGTTATGCATCTGGTTGTATCTCTGCACGATTATCATTCGTTATAGCATATGATTTTATAGTAAATCGACAAGAGACACCATAATAAACTATTATGACATTTTTTGGTGTTTTATTTCACCCTTCATCGATCTTATTCGCATGTTACATCATTTATATTTAGTTAAAAATGAATGTATTAATTATTTTATTTGAAACAGCTACTATGTTATTAGTTTTGATTAAAAGTTGTTTTTGACACATGTTAGTGTTGTTAAATTTTGAATCGATACTCAGCAATACACGTGATGCTTTCAGGGGCTAACACTTTTCCTGTCGTATGCAATACTGGCAGCAGTCTTAGGAATGTTGCAGTTTGGATACAACACTGGAGTTATTAATGCGCCGGAAGTGGTACGTTTCTTTCTTTTTTTTTTTTGAAAATAAATTCTTAATATTCAGTGTTTAATTGTATCCTCATTAACAAATGAATGTATAATTAACAAATGACATAGTTCAGTCACTGTGTAATGAAAGGCCTTACATCTATTTATTTCTTTTAAATTTCTTCTTAAATTAAAGGAAATTTAATTTCACTTGATATTTTAATTGATATATTTTGCTTTCCAACATAAACTTTATTAAAAAATTTGGTCACAGTGAATTTCTTTAAAACTTATAATTGTATTACATGTTATTATTATTATTATATTGTTATTATGTACTGTTACATCGCAGGTTAATTATATTACAATTTTATTATGTATAATAATACGATACTAATCTGGATTACACTTATGTGTATTGAAAATCATACAACATTTGAACAGAAATTGGTTACTTCAAAATATTGTTTAGGTATAAAAAATTTAAATTAAAGCAAAAAGATTTCATGTCTATTTAGTAAGACTATTTTCCATTTTGAAGTAGAATATCTTAAAAATTATTAATAAAATTAAAAAATGTTAAAAAAATAGATTTGCAATCTTTTTGCTTTGATTTTATTTGCTACGTGCTCTACTTTGTGTAAACGTTAACTAACTAAAAGGAATCATTCTTTATCCACGAAGTGTTTCACCATTTATATTCTGCGTTTCTTTCAATTCAAAGATATTGATTCGCACAAATGTCTGTTTCAGAACATTGAAAATTTTATGAAAGACGTTTACAAGGACAGGTATGGAGAAGACATTTCCGACGACTCTGTGAAGAAATTGTATTCAGTGGCCGTAAGCATATTTGCGATTGGTGGTATGCTAGGTGGTTTTAGCGGAGGAATAATTGCCAACAGATTTGGCAGGTTTGTACGATAACGTTGCATTGTGTTTACGTGTGGGTCAATCTGAGCTAAATCGATCATTTTTAGCTTCGATATCAGAGATTTTTCTTAAATTGAAATCTGTTACAGTTCATCTGACAATAAAGGAAACTAATATCATCATTTTTGCTGCTTTTACAGAATTTTTATCTCTGTAAAGGTTAAGCGTACGAATTTTCCTTTTCCTTTATTTTATTCACCCAGGATTATCCTTATTAACTGTTTTGCTTTGTCCGAAATCATTTGAGCTACACAAAAATATTAAAACTATTAACAATATTTTTACATCGCGCAAACGAGTTCAGAGATAAAATCGAAAATTAGAAAGGACAATCCTTTACGATTAAAGCAGAAGAAATTAATGTTAATTTTTTTAATAGTTGTAGAGTTGAAAGAACTCTTTTGCGAACGTATTTTTCATAGAAATTCTGAATACTGTCAACTTTTAGGGTCCGTATTTTTCAAACATTTTCGAAAGCAACAAAATGGCTACCTAAACTTCCCCTATTTTTTCACATGGACTGCAACACAGTTCAATTTGAGCAAGATCACTGACATCGAGTACAAAAGTGATCGATCTGGCGTGGAATGACCTGTGTAGCTAGGCTTGTATGCCAGATATTATCGGTAGCGCACAGTGCCGGATTAAGTTTTTGTACACCCTGGACTACAGGTATAGTGAAACTCCTAGCAATATTTTCAAAAGGAAAGAAAAAGATCAAGAACAATTTTAATTTATTTTCACGATAATTATAACTCAATTGTAACTCTCCAATCAAATCGGTTATATTTTAAATACGACTAAATCCGCAGTACTATGCTATTATAAGCGAATAAAGAAGTTCATTTACTATGCACTACATTTAAGTTGAAATAATTCATAAAAGTAGAAATGTTTAATTTGAACTCCTTCGTGAAAGCAGGAACATTCAAGTTGAAGCCATCCATAAAGTAAGATATTAGGGTTGAAATTATTCATGAAAGTAGAAATATTTAAGTTGAAGTAGTTCATTAAAATTGCAATATCCAATTTCTTCACGAAAGCAGGAATATTGAAATAGACGTAATTCATACAAATAGGATTTCGAAAGACCAAATTGTTAATGAAATTAGAAATAAAATAATAAGGAATAAAATGATGGTTAGTCTTGGTTTATTCTCATTTCAAAACAATAATAACAAATCTTTCTAAATTATACTTATACAAGCAGGAATATTCCAATTAAAATAATTCCTAAAAGTTGCAATATTAAAATTTGAAATCTCTTATGAAAGCAAGAATATTGAAGTTAAAGTCATTCATACGAGTAAGAATATTTAAATTGAATTTATTCACGAAAGTAGAAATACTAACGTTGAAGTTACATGTACAAGCAGGAATATTCAAATTAAAATAATTCATAAAAGTTGCAATATTAAAGGAGGGTGTTAAGAAATGCCCATTTTTGCCATCCCCTGGAAATGAAAAATTCATGCAGGATCATTTAGAGTGTCTCCCAAGGAACAAAAAATGTTGGTATCACTTTCCCGAGAAACGATGGGAAAGTTGTCAAACATACGTTCAAAGTATGAATGTGATGATAACGAAACTTACGTATATTCTACAATTCGTCGTCTTCTACTTCGGATATCGAACCATCATCGAAATAAGTATTAAGGAATTCAGCAGGCAGATGAATTGAAGCTTGAAATCGAGCAAATCCAAAGTACCATATAATCATGGGTACATGGGAACAACAACCAACAACGCGTACTGCGACTTTGCATCCTCATGAGTGTGCAATTATGGCTTCCAGTGCGGTTTTACTTTTATCAATTAGTACATATGCAAAGGATTTTAAACTATTTGAATGTCGTGAATGCAGTTTCGTTTGAGGTAAAATGGCGTTAATTAGTTCCACATCAATCTAGTATTTTTTAAAATCAATATTGTATGATGGTACTGATCCTCACCATAAACATATTCCCGATACGTCGCGACAATGAGAGGTTGCGATATAAACAAGAGTTAGATCCCAGAGCCAAAAAAGAAAACAGATCTGATTATTTTAGTTACAATATCTCTTTTCTCTGATCTTTTCTTTGACAACTTTCATTTAATCCTATGTAGCAATGATTATATACTTCCAATTTGTTCCATTACTAACCTTAATTTATTAGTTAGTAAGATTTATTAGTTTCAATTCATGATTCTTATTAATCATTTTTAAGACGTTTCGATACTCTCGATTAAGTTACTTTGAACCGGATATTTGATATTTTCCTTGCGGATCATGACTTTCGATTTTCTGTAGTGGAAACTCGGAAACCATTAACAGTTGAACAAGTTAATAAATTGAAATTCATTAAAAAATATCAATATAATGTCGAAGTAATCGCAGGACGTATAAAAAGTCGTTAAATATTTCGAAGACGGTTCGATATCCGAAGAAGAAGACGACGAAATGTAAAATATACGTAAATATACGTAATATAAGTTCCGTTATCATCACATTCATACATTGAACGTATTTTTGACAACTTTCCCATCGTTTCTCGGGAAAGTGATACCGATATTTTTTGTTCCTTGGGAGACACTCTAAAAGATCCTGCATGAATTTTTCATTTCCAGGCGATGGCAAGAATGGGCATTTCTCTTAACACCCTCCTTTGAAATCTCTCATGAAAGCAAGAACATTGCTACGTATTAACGTTGAAGTTACTTACGCAAGCAGGAATATTTAAGCCGAAGTAATTCGTTAAAGTTGCAATATTAAAACCGAAGTCTTCCGTGAAAGTAGGAATTTGAAGAATGAGGTTACTAAAGAAGCCAAGAATAAAACAATAAATGGTAGAAAATTAATAGTTAGTTGTAGTTTATTTTCACTTCGAAACTGTGTACCACCGAATCTTTCTCAATTCCACCGAACAATATTTTTGACGTTGCATTCAGGTCATAAGTAAATTGTTATAGTGTCATGGGTCAGTGTTCGAGCCGCAGGTCATAAGTAGCCGCCTCGTAGTGCATTATGCATACGCCCCGATTCATCGAATTGGCTCAAATTAATCAATGGATACCCTCTGGCTAAGGTATCTGTACCGTAGCCCCTAAAGCCCGTAGCTTGATCCGGCCCTGGTAGCGCGTAATGTTTGAATATTAAATCGTGAGACGTGCTGGTGGGTAACGAGCATTTAATCGATTACATCGCTCATGTTTTCTCGTTCACTCACAGAAAGGGGGGCTTACTGCTAAACAACGTGCTGGGCATCGTGGGGGCGTGCCTGATGGGTTGTACAAAGATTGCTCACTCATACGAAATGTTGTTCTTTGGACGGTTCATCATCGGTGTCAATTGTGGCTTAAACACCTCGTTGGTTCCCATGTACATATCGGAGATAGCACCACTGAACCTGAGAGGCGGCCTAGGCACGGTGAACCAGCTCGCTGTTACGGTGGGTCTCCTGGTCTCCCAGGTGCTGGGCATCGAGCAAATCCTTGGAACAAATGAGGGTTGGCCAGTTCTCTTAGGGCTAGCTATCTGCCCTGCCATTCTACAGTTACTGCTGCTTCCAGTTTGCCCTGAATCACCAAGGTAGACGGCTACGTAGCCATCATAGTAAATGTTAACTGCCTAATTATCGTTGTATCTACAGTATCGTATCTGTAGTATTGGATTATCTGAAAAGTCCATGTCCATTTTTGGTAGCTGATACAGGTCTGAATATATCGGAATGGTTGAAAACATTAATAAGACCATATGTTCATAACATTTTTGTTTTACTTTTGCGTGTAGAACACGCTGACAAAGTTTGGCCGGAAAAATCAAATGTGCCGCGTGTTAATTCAAATGTGCCTTTGAATTTTTCTCAAAAATTGGCACGAACTTTCTAGACAACCCAATACTATTAGGTGTAAAAAAGAGTTCTGTCAGATTTTTGCCCAAATTCGTTTATTTATCGTGGCGGCACCTGTAACTCGTCCCCAGAGGGATATGTTTCCCTCAAACATTTGGTTTTTTCTAATTAACGCTATAATTACATTTATAATGTATAGAACAAAATCAATTTTTATTATTTGGAACCATCAAGCAGACTCAATCGCGTTAACGTACATGGTCCGCTTGAGCAGAATTAAGTAGAACAGTTGGAAATGATAGAGACTTATGTATATATAT